CCTCAGTTGTAATTAACCCCTCAGATTTCAGATCTTCTTCAGCTGAACTCATGACATTCCTTCTCTCATTTCATTCCCTCATTCTCTTTCATTTGATCCCTCCACATCATTCTTTGCTATGTTTCTACACCTTGTATGTTTCTTTCCCTTGATGTTGCCTACTTTTTTTTGTAGAAATTCCAAGTCTGTGAAGAAGGGAATGCTATTTTTTTCCTAACATGAAGAAACATTTGCAGAGCTTGAAGGAGAGCTTAGAACCATTAGCTCGTTTTCTAATAAAATTAGAGTTATATTGTTATATTGATCCTGTAAGGCATGAAGCAGAAGATCAGAGGCAGCTGCGCTGGTGAGAAAACGCCCACTTCCCCCACCCTGCCAGAGAAAGTCCTATTTTGTGCTGAGTAGAAGACTCCCACAGCTGACATCAAAGGTGATGTTAGAGGTAGATTTAATTGTACACATCATAACAGGACCACAATTGTTTGACAGGAAGGAAGAGCTGGGGCAGGTAAGAATCAAATTAAATTGATCTGGAAAGACTCAATTTAAAAATTCAGTACCCAAGGGTTAATAATCCTAAAATTGAAGAAAAGTAGAAGGGATTGTTTTGAGTCTCTAATAACACTGAATAGATCTTTTTGACTAATCCAAATCAATGGACAACTGAAACAGGAGCAAATAAAATATATGGATAATCCCTATGGCTCAATCCACCACTCTTAACTGCTATGCTATAGGCATCAAATTACAGTATCGCTTAGGAGAATTTTGATTAGATCTCTCTTATCACTGTATGCTATAGCAACAGTGGATTTCATTGATGACATAAATATGTGGAACAGAAATTACCAGAAAAAAAATAAGCATGTATTCACAAAGGCTTTCACGGCCGGGATCTAATGGTTGTTGTGGGTTTTTCGGGGTCTTTGGCCGTGTTCTGAAGGTTGTTCTTCCTAACGTTTTGCCAATCTTTGTGGCTGGCATCTTCAGAGTGCTGTCCTCTGAAGA